TAAGGAGGCAATGATATTGAGTCAATAATTGAAAATAACCGTAAAATTGCTATACCTCATATTTAAGAAATAAAACTAATTAATACCAAAATTGCAAGGATCTACACAATTAACAGGTAGCGTTCAGAAATGATTCAGAGATCCCAGAAAAGCAGAAATCAAGTGACTACAGGTACATTTATTCCTGATGTAAAGTTGAAGAAATCAAGTGACTACAGGTACATTTATTCCTGATGTAAAGTTGAAGAAATCAAGTGACTACAGGTACATTTATTCCTGATGTAAAGTTGAAGAAATCAAGTGACTACAGGTACATTTATTCCTGATGTAAAGTTGAAGAAATCAAGTGACTTCAGGTACATTTATTCCTGATGTAAAGTTGAAGAAATCAAGTGACTACAGGTACATTTATTCCTGATGTAAAGTTGAAGAAATCAAGTGACTACAGGTACATTTATTCCTGATGTAAAGTTGAAGAAATCAAGTGATTACAGGTACATTTATTCCTGATGTAAAGTTGAAGAAGTAACTCATGAAGTACATATAATCAGTTAAGTAGAAAATACAAATAGTAACATATGCCAAGCATCTAGAAACATTGATTTCAACAATTACACAATTTCAATGTAAGAACAACTCCAACTTAATTTTACATTTGATATGTGATCAAATCAATCTTTTACAGATTACACAAAATTATTTAGATATACACAGGTAACAGCTGATATAAATATACTCCAAGATGAACTGGACCATTTGTCAGCTTAAAGAGATAAATGGCATGAAATTCCTTCCTCCAAAATTAAAATTAATGTATATTGGCTGGTATGGCATTGAAAGACAATAATACCTTAACAAAGAAGAATTACATGAAGTGGACAAGGAAACGAACATTGGAGTAATTAAAAATCGGTCTCTGTCTTTTTAAGATAAGTACACAAGTTAAACAAGTATATAGTATGTTAATAAGGAGAACTTTTTATTTTCTTGTAATACCTGTAGATAACACTATCTTTTACTATACAAGACACTAGTACATCTAGAGCACACAAATACTGTACGGAACCCGAATAAAATGAAACATATCGATCGAATCTGTGCAACAGGGAGCAACTAAACAGTTACCTGGATTTAGGGAAATGTCTTATTCAGGTACACTTTAAAGGCTTAGATTGCCATCATTTCCTTCACAAAGATCCAGGGAGATATGAACAAATGCTTGTGATAAAGACAGCAACAGATTTTATTCAACTCTGGAATGACATGGTCTATTAAACCAGTGGACAGGAGGACATTGTAAACTGGATATAAGGGAAAATATTTTGGTCTATGCTTAGTCAAAATATGGAACAACCTCCCAGAATAATAGAATCCCATTGGAGGTGAGATATGTAGATCTCAACCCAAGGGGAACAATTATTAAGTTAGCAAACACAAGGTTTTGCACCCTAGGATGAGACAAGGAAATCTCACAATGGTAAAATCACAGATATATCAGTCCAAGGTAAAGAAACCTTGGCACCACCAGTTAATTAATTCCCTCAAAAACAGATAAGATCAAGATCTTTTACATAATTACGAAATTTCATAAAATTTGGAACTGTTGTCATTATTAAATTTACTCAATGTAATGTTGTTATTGTATGTTTGAATCTTAAATGATTCTGTACTGGTAATAAACTTAACTTCATTTATTATGTGTATTTAAGTGTTGATTTTGAAAAAGCAACCAATTCCCATCATAGTGTGATGGCTATTTCTCTTTCTGAAAGATTTTAGACAAACATATACATTATATAAACATAATGAAGTAAACACCTTTTTTCCAGTTTTCTTAAGATTTTCATTTCTCTATTTTTTAAGGATAAATCACTTTAGCATTTTAGAGAGTGATACAGTAGAACTCCCTTAACATTATGTTCCATTTGGCAGAGGGAAAAGAGATAATAACTGTAACTTGACAATAACAGCTGACACGTTTTTCTGACATCTAAACATGCATGTTTATTTTCTGATGCACCGAAATGACTTATTTCTTAAAGAAACTGTTTTGAAGACAAAAATCAGTAATTTGCTTCCTTTTACCCTTAAGCTATGTGATTTTTTGTAACTTTTCTTTGTTGATTCTTTGAAATATCTAACCTCCTACCAAAGATTTTCATGAAAGAACATACACGTCACAATTACAGTTTACATGTGGTACAATTTGTACAAGACACTACCGTGCCATCAGCTGATATTTTGCTGCATAAATCATTTATCCAGTATTGTGTAGGCTCCATGATATTTGATCACACTAGCCTTAATACAAACATCTGGTATGTATTGATTTTATCCTCAATTTTATATTCAAAATCTACATAAAAGAGGTCACAAGATATTTGGGAACTGAATATACCTTTAGTACTTTAAATTAATGAAAATTAAATAAATTAAATAATTAGTTTCAAATACAAGGACATATGGGAACTTCCACAAAAAAAATTGTTTATCTTTTATCTCCATTTGAAACGACATTGGAAGATCATAAACAGTTATAGATTTATATAGATGTATCATGAAGACAACACTAAGATTGAAGAAGGCATTCTGATAAGGAGTTTTAAATAATGCACTACACATAATTCATTTCCACTGCCTATAGCTATTTGTATTTATGCTTGTATGTACATGCCACCAGCAATGAAGGTACATCTTTGATGTACAGGTACAATTAAATCACCTCAGGTGTAAAAATCGATGAATGTAATATACAATGATGTTCGTGATATCATACTATGTATATAGAAAACTGACTAGGACACTGACATCCTAAAATTGACACCTAAACTGTTTTCATTTAATGTAATTGCTATCTAATAAGGCTTTCAAAAATAACTGTCAGGTTTTTAGTAGGTTTACAACTCTAGTTCTGAAGCCTCAGTGACTACCCTCAGTTTTCATATATCACAGAAACATCAAGTCATGTGAATGCTTGGAATAAAGGAATAATCATTCTGTAAGAATTCAGCAAAATTCTAGCATAATGGAAACAAAATAAGACAAGATTAATGTGAAGCAGACTAGCAGTTACATGTATGTGATTTACATCCAAGTTTTGCAACAGTTCATCGCTGCAGTTTTAATGACAGGGATGAAAAATAACAAATATCATAACACACAAAGACTCAGTATTTAAGTTTTTGATCACTGCATACTTTTTGTAGGAATACTGATTTACAAACTCTTGAAAAAAAGCATTGCCTGAAGACTTCTTTCTATCTTTTATATGACAAAACTGAATGTAAATTGGTTAAAATACTTCTGAAGGCATATTCGATTACCTGACATTAAATATTTTATAGGCTATGATAAATATAGATTTATTGATTACATGCAGCTTTAAGACAGTATTACTACTTTTACTGCTATACATATACACAATAGCCGTAGCCTTTTCATTTTTTCCCCATTTTGTTGCAGTGATTAAATATTGGTTTTCAAAACACTTTTTATATTTATTATTTCTCCTAGCATTTGGAGCTGAATATAGAATTTAAGTACTGGTAACTTGCTATATATACTAGATATTGTTATCAACCTTATGAATCTTTCTAAAGCACATTGACGGTAATTTGCATATTATGTAGGTATTAAGTAAGTATAATTAGACTTGTAGAAATGAGGAAAAGTCACATCAAAGAAGATTGTTTGTTTGGTTTATCGCTCTACGAAAAGACAGGGTCATTTTGAGGTAATAACTGGTGGTTACCTCAATGAACAACACATGGAAGGCACATTACATGCCATCTAAAGCAATGCGGGTAAAGTTTCTTGCCCAAGGCCAAAACCAGGTCAGCACAGATCAGACTGGTCCTGAAGTAAACGAACCCACCCACCATGGGTTTGGAGTATCAAACCATGCACCTTGGATCTTCACTTAAGGTTATGTAGGCTACTGATCAAACCAACTAAACTATCACAGAACAAATTGATTTTCTATGGTAACACCAGGCCATGAAGAGACACATAGGTAGATGCATGTTCATATAGTTCTTGTGCCTGCAAAATTTCAGTTCTTCACAAGTCTTTGTCTTTTGAAATATACACAACAAGCAACATTGTATCATTTTCCTTATATTTTGCAATAATATTTTAAAACATAGCTAAATACACATAGTATCTAAGGTAAACTTGCAGGTGAGTCCAGCAATTGGAAAATTGTACTGCATGTTGTCTTGATTTAGAAATTTACTTAGTAAGTTCACCTTAAAGCTACTATGTCATACGTAATACTTCAGGTAATGGTAATGTAGCCTAGCTACAGTAGCTACTATTAGTAGTGGTTGGGTGTCTACTTAAAAAAAGAGAGATTATATAACGTTTGGTTTTGCCTCAGCTGTGGGGGCTGTTAGTTTGCTCTAAACCAGAATCATCAGACGGTAATTTTGAAGTATATGATTATGATCAGGTTTTCAGGAACAACATAGATTGTAGCTGTCTACAGAGTCAAAGACTTGTGAAGCACTGAAGGGAGAACTGTGTAAAGAGAAAGTACAGGTCACTTTATTAGTCTAGGCTATCACAGGCTGGATATAACCTTAATCTAATAACAATATTGCAAAAATATACAATACTGTAAATTCAATTCAAAGGATTTACGTCATAGAATTGATACACACCTCTTGATATGGTATTTATGTAAAATTCATAGATAAGATGGTTACTGTCATGTCTCTGTCAATCAGTCTATTATTATTTTAGATGGTATGTCTGATTTCTTCTGTCAGTATAAATACATGCTCATTACATACACTTCTGACATGAAAGGTTTCACGTCTGTTGAATCATGTTTAATGATAGCGGAACGGACTAAAAATAATTCAAATATTGAAGAAATCATACAAGTCCTTAGAGAATGTGTGACATAGAACACCACAATAGCATCATATGTATGTACATCACACACTCTGCTGACAGAGTCCGTTACATTAGCTTATATTAACATCTTGTGTACTTACTTCGAGTCTCGGACGTCTTTAATTGACCTCTCTAGTGATATTTTATCACTTGCAATTATATTAAAAGCTTCCTTCTTAAACAATGAAGCTGCCAATGCTTTTTCTTCGCCTTCTAAAATCACTGGTGCTCCCATTTCTCCGGGACCCTTCCTGTTACTCTCCACTGCTTGATAGTCAATGAAGCGTTTTCGTCGCTCTTTTAAGAACACGTTTGGATTAGGTAAATCAGTTTGGTGGTAGTAGTATACATACACATATACTGCAATCGTTATTAAAGCGATTATTGCTAATATTTTCCAACTTAGTCGTTTTCTTCTGAGGAAACGTGGCAAATTCATGTTGTCAGTGTAACTCTCCAGGACGGTTTCGGCATTATATATTGTAAGTGTGTAAACACCCGATGCAATCCGAAAGTGAATAAAGAAATAACCTACGACCCGAAAGACGGTGTGAAATTTCCGTAATACTTGTACACGTAGTTTCCGTTACAATGTAATGTGTAAGGTCTAAGCAATTCGTAATACTGTGACACGTTTTTGTCACTCCATTCGATCTCCTTAAATTCTGTTTAGATGCATTTCTTCTCCATTTTTAAAAGAGCTCAGTACGTACGTCAACTCAAGTGACAATAATACGGACAAAATAATTTTATTAACTTTCTACTAAATTTGCAAATTTGTTACGTTCAATACAAAAATAAGGCCAATGTTATTTTTAGATAAAATTCAGGTTATATGGATGAGGATCTTGAACAGATTTTTAATGGAAATATTTTGAATTTTAGTAATATGCAGCACAAATATGTTGGTCGAATCAGATAAAGACGTTGGAAATCTATCAGTATGTAATAAAAAAAAGAAAAAAAAAGAAGTATTTTACGACCTTACACATGTTCAAAAACAGGTTGGGCCACTTGCACGAGCACAGGTGTCAAGAGTGACACCAAAAGTGAGAGAAAGGCGAAGAAACAAAATAGTGAAATAATAGAGTATAGGTGAGGATGGGTGTGCTATGGTCGATTCTGATTTAGAGAGGGCACAGCTTGAATCAGACAAAAACAGATCACCATCATACGTTAGAAATGAATCTTTCTATACATACATTGACTGGTATTTAGTTTAATTATATATAAGAACGAGACGGTAACTAGCTACAATGCAACCTCTATGGTAGCGAGAGATTCGATATGCTTCAAGACAGAATTATAGCTATATAATTAGTTATTCTATATCATTAACTGTTGTTGAATTGCAATCATCAGGAGACGACTATTGAATAAGTTGCAGTAACTTGGGACAAATCATTTTTGCCATTCTGGTCATTAGAATGTTTAGATAAAGTTAAATGTGTTAATCGGTATACCTGGTGTGTTATGTGAACGTTTAAAGGTGTTAGTTTAAAACATTCCGTCAGCAAGTGATAAGAATATAAAGCTTATCTATTATAAAAATATATATAAAAAATACGAGTGTTGATTGATAAGTTGTGAGCCACATATTAAAAGATTTGTGTTTTGGCAGGCATATTGCATTATTTGTCAACACAATCCCCTTCAATATCTCACGATACACTTTTGCCATGGTTAAAGGTCTCAATATCACTTTTAAAAAAGTCCTTTTCTTGACCGTTCAGACAGTCCTCCACTGCATATATAGCGTTATCATCTGACCGAAATTGGGTACTTTTTTCAATTTTGGAATAAGATGAATGGCTGATGGAGTGAGATAAGGTTATTAAGGCGGATGCTCAATTCAGTGACAAGCGTTAATATCAGCCATGACAATGACAGACTAGTGAACATGGTCATTGTCCTAGTGGAACAACACACATTTACGAAGTTTTTCACGAGTTTAATGTTTTCTTTGAACTATCCAAGACGTGATGCAGAATATGTGCCATTGATTGTTTGGCCCTTTTGCAGAAAGTCTACCATCAGAATACTATCAGCATCCCAGAAAACCAAGGCCATTACTTTTCCAGCTGATGGAACAGTCTTTGCCTTCTTTGGCGGGGGTGAACCAGGGTGCTTTCCATTGTTTAGACTGTTGTTTGACCTCTGGAGTGAAATGATAGACCCATGTTTCATCCATATTGACAAATCTATGCAGAAAGTGAGCAGGATATGCCTCTAAAAAGTTCAGACTAGCAGTCGACAAAGTTCGCCTGGTGTGATTCCGATTGACTGTCTGAAGTTTTAGTACCCAACGGCCTGAGAGCTCTCTCATTGCAAGATCTTTCATAAGAATGGATTGTACTCTTTCCAGTGAAATCTCAACTGTACAGGTGATATATATATACACCTGTAACTCGCATGTCAGTCTGCCACAACAATATCATGTACTATGTTGACCATTTCTGGGGTTGCAACAGTGACAGGTCTTCCAGGACAGGCATCATCCCGAAGGCTCTGTCTGTCACGTTTAAACTCCACCATCCACCTTTTCACTGTGGCATATGAAGGGCATCATTCCCTAGTGTTGCTACCGTACCAGTATGGATAGCTTTAGGTGCTAGACCTTTCTTATGCCAATATTGAATCACTGCTCTTGTTTACTTTAAAGTGCTACCTCTTCGACAAAAGCTGACCACATGACACCATCCCTAGGCTGCACAGCCTTAAAAGTAGAGCTGTAAGAGGGCACTCCTGCTTAACGCATCCTGTCCTCGTATCATGAGTGTTTGTGATTTGCTCTGGTTATGACAATTCTGAAACGATACTGTTATCTATAAATGTTGTGTTTGCATGCATTGTACCATATTGATTGTTTACACAAAAAAAACGTGTTTATGATTATTTGTCACAATATGTGTAGATAGTACTATACAGTAGCCAGCTCTGTACACCATCGCAATATTTGTAATTTTACTGTATAGAATTTATTTGTTGTTATTAAATTGTTGAATTTTAACCAAGTTGTTGGGTTTTATTTGCTGTACGTTAATTCCGCAACGTAACAATACATTTTCCCGTCTAATATGTGATGTTCTTCATTTGCCGTCGAGTAGCCAGTGACTTTTAAAATATGTCGACTGAAATGTATGGTGGCCGGTTAGATCCATCTCCATTTTCGATAATCCAGGGGTTACACTCACTCTCTACACCCCGGGAACATTTCATGGCAAAATTAAAGGTTCCGTTTGCGGCACCTTTCGGATAAGACGAGAAAACAAGTTTGATCTTTTGATGTACATCAAACGAATCTCGAGTGGAGCGTCACTGTGATTGGTAAGTTTCCCGAAACTTTCTCTAGACCAAGTAAATTACTTCTCTTGAGCCCTCAATTTTGCCACGAAAAGCTTCAGGGGTGTGAGAGGTATAGTGAGCATTGGAGTACCGAGGATGGGCTATCTCGCGATAACCCGGAAATCATACGTATACGTTGGCTTTCATCGACATTGATACCTTAAACAAAGTACTAACAGTTCTGTAGTCAGCTTCAAATGACATGTACGACTGACCCACAGAGTGCTACTTGCAAGCTTACCAGCACTCATCTGGTCTTCATATTTAGGTTTATCAATGTGGCGTCCAGTTGCTTTACAATATGGTGTAGTCTAATGAATTACGAGCTTTCTTCGTAATAGCGAGATCTCGACAATATGCGATCGCTCTGATGGAAATAGGAGTTTTACTGTTAAAATTAAAACCTGTTACTGGACTTGAATGACGTCAAGGAAAATAATGTATAGAATTTGACTCTTCACACAGGTTTGTGATTAACATAAATTATAATGTTATCAGAAAGACTACCCTATACATAAGGGTATGATTATATACTTTGTTATGTGGAGGTACAAGGTAAAACATTAATCAAAAGCTAAAGAAAAATAATCCAGCAGAAAAAATCTGAAAACTGTTATGATTTAAAAGAAATGTGTTTTGCGTGGTCACAGAAATTAGCTGGTATTGTCAGTATGGAGACCATACCAACCGGAAACCTGTGTTGCATCAGCCCGACTTATGCAAGCCATTGAACCCTTCCATTATCATGTAAAGGTCACACTGTTGGAATTTGATCATATAAATTTCCGTTATTAGAACCCCGTACGAGATACCATTTATAGGAAAACGTGGTGGCTAATCAACTGGCTTCAGTTGATTTAATCTGGTGTAACACAGCTATAACACAGGGCCCCGTGTTTAGTTGTTAAACCAACACGATAAGTTTGTTTCAACAAACGTTCAAGATTGATCACTAGTCAGCATTGCCGAGTATACTTCAATCACCTCATGGAATCAAGATTTTAGGTAAAATGTGTGCATCCTGTCCAAAACAATCATCTGTTGATCCGAAGATTTACATTGTGTCGTTAAACATCTTTAAATTATTTTCCAATAACTTCCGATCGTCCGATATCAAGGGTATATCAAACATACAGATAAAATCATACTGAGAATATTGTTGTAAGAACTTCTATAAACTGTTTTCGTCCCATGGACCGGAAGGCTGGTCGACGTATTAGGTTTGTTTGGTAGAGAAAGTCGGAGAAAAACTTACAACTTGCAGCCAGTACCTGTCATTCTGATCTCCCAGAGTTACTTCTCTTCGTTTGACATCTTAACTTGAGATCTCCTCAAGTTGAGATTTTCCTCAGCTGATATCTCCTCAAAAACGGCTTGTATAAGATTTTCTCAAGGAACAGGAGGAAGGCATCGGCTAGGATGTCCTGAAATTCCTTGAGGAATTTTCATACAAGATATTTTCAAGGAGATATTAGCTGAGGAAAATCTGGGCTTGAGGAAATCTGAAATTGAGATGTTTTATACAAGTGGGGCCAGATAGTATAACGATAATCCGACGAAGCCGAGAGTGGTACTTGGCGATTGACCAACGAGGGCCTCGAACCCGCAATCCAGAGGTGTTGGCCACCGTGGCGTCTATAAACGCTGGGAAATTATCATGGGAAATGTGGACATATATCGACTGTAGTCAATAATCAGAGATAAATCAATGGGTCACGTGAGGGAACAAATCAGACAGCATGGTTTTATAGCCGACAGATCGATGGTACTACATCTAATCCCTTTTGGCGAAGGGCATTGTCAAACGTCCGATATAAATGAGTCATAAGGAGAAATCCCAAAAAGGATTAGTACTTTCCTGATTTAAGTTCAGGATAAATGGGCAGATATTTTCATTGAAGGAGGATGTGTGAATGTAATTTGCTGTTATTTCATGAAAGGTAAACTTCGCCGTCATGGATCGGTACATAAATTAGCGACATGTATATCGCATTTCTTGATCTCCAATGTCCGATTGGATAAAAACTTTCTTGCTTGGCAGGAAACAAAAATGAAGAAGACTATGCAATAATACAGCAGGCCATTTGTTGCGGAACACATAGTCTTATTCTCCTTGTAGTTTTTCAGGAGTCTTTGTGGACTTTCTCGCGGAACACATAGTCTTATTCTCCTTGTAGTTTTTCAGGAGTCTTTGTGGACTTTCTTGCGGAACACATAGTCTTATTCTCCTTGTAGTTTTTCAGGAGTCTTTGTGGACTTTCTCGCGGAACACATAGTCTTATTCTCCTTGTAGTTTTTCAGGAGTCTTTGTGGACTTTCTTGCGGAACACATAGTCTTATTCTCCTTGTAGTTTTTCAGGAGTCTTTGTGGACTTTCTCGCGGAACACATAGTCTTATTCTCCTTGTAGTTTTTCAGGAGTCTTTGTGGACTTTCTCGCGGAACACATAGTCTTATTCTCCTTGTAGTTTTTCAGGAGTCTTTGTGGACTTTCTTGTGGAACACATAGTCTTATTCTCCTTGTAGTTTTTCAGGAGTCTTTGTGGACTTTCTTGCGGAACACATAGTCTTATTCTCCTTGTAGTTTTTCAGGAGTCTTTGTGGACTTTCTTGTGGAACACATAGTCTTATTCTCCTTGTAGTTTTTCAGGAGTCTTTGTGGACTTTCTTGCGGAACACATAGTCTTATTCTCCTTGTAGTTTTTCCATGACGATCGTTGTCTTAACAGGAACACCTTTCGTTTTTGGATAACCTGGTTTCACTTGGTGTAATGTCTTAGATCCTTTCATACACAAAAGTCTTTCCTTTCATGCAAGTGCTTAAGTGATTTTTTAATTTGAATTATTGTTTTACCAAAAGGCTGCACTTTTCACTTGCTTGTATTTGTAGTCTTGAAGTTACTTGCATTTCACTTGTGCCGATAACGGTAAGAAGACTATTACACTTTCAGAATTCCCGGTCTAATTCTCTTCTTGGATATTTTTAATGATTACTTGTTGTAATTTAGAATGACATTTTTACGGTGTACGTTTGATTTTGAAATACAATGCACATTTTAATTCTAATTTCGATTTTGTAAGGTTCATTGGTGACAAAATTCAGAATCCTTATTCAGGACTTTTATTTAATTTTGGGGACACACCACTTCTCCATTCTGATTGTACAAACAACACACAAATATAAATTTTTGAAACAAACTAGAAAAATCGACACATACTTCGCTGAATAATGAATAAAGGTACAGCTTACAACCATTTCGTCCTTTTAGTGTTGCGTTAGGCCAAAAGTATGAATATTTAGGAGGAGGGGGTGAAATCAGAATCAGCCTAGAAAGACAAACCTAAGTTGATTTATTTTAAAACAATTACAAAACAAGTTTTAGTTTTTCAACTTATACTAATCACTCTTGTTAGCATGTCAAACAGAAGAATATAAATATATGTAACCTTAATATCTATATACATATACAGTACATATATACATATATATATACATATATAGTACATTATATATACATATATATATACTATATATATAGTACACTATCTATATACATATACAGTACACTATCTATATACATATATAGTACACTATCTATATACATATATAGTACACTATCTATATACATATACAGTACACTATCTATATACATATATAGTACATTATCTATATACATATACAGTACATTATCTATATACATATATAGTACATTATCTATATACATATACAGTACATTATCTATATACATATACAGTACATTATCTATATACATATACAGTACATTATCTATATACATATACAGTACATTATCTATATACATATACAGTACATTATCTATATACATATATAGTATATATATACTATATACTATATACATATACAGTACATTATCTATATATAGTACATTATCTATATACATATATCATATATATATACTATATACATATATAGTATATTATCATATATTGTCGCCTGGTTCCTTTTCATGGAATTGGTGTTGTCTTATAAGTTATTGTTAAGTCCTTTTAAAACGTTTCTTATTAACATTTAACATATCAAAATTATTGAAAGCAAATCAAATTATCAAACATCTCATATTTATCTTTTCGATTGATTCTGAACAAGTAATTTTACTTGGAATGTATTTTTCTTTTCTTTCTGTTAGTATGAAACATTTAAATATTTTCGCCGTGTAATATGCTAAATCTAACAAGACGAATACAGGCCCCTCGAGCCTCTTGCAAATCGTTTGAAACATGGTAAAATAAAAAAAAAAAAAAAAACCAAATGTATTGATATTACATCATGTCTGTCCCCTGTGTCCGATTAGTGGTGATTCATTGGTTTATACTGACGCTGAAACTATCCAACACACATCTAACCCACGGCACTGACCAGGAAGCGATAAAAGTTACTAATATCCTGACATTTTTCATTGCTCCACTCAATCCGATATTATCACGAATAACTGTAATCATGACAAATATGGATGAAATGTTTAAACTTTGGATAGTTTCTTTTTGTGGGATTTTCATTTGTTCAGCCGACGATGTGGACTATTTGCAGAGTTTCCTAAACAAGGATAGTGGACTTGATAACAATGTGGTTTGTAATTTGGAAACGAACTGTTCTGTACCTAATATTGAGGGAGTGACAGTTGTGAACCCGGAGATGGAATGTCCAGAAAGTAAGACACTGTTACTATTGTTGTAATAAAATACCTTGAGAATCTCGCACGATATTCAATACCAGTACGTTTAAAAAATGTTCTCAAAAATCAATATAACTAAATCAACCAATTATCTTATTTATTTGTATATTTAAACAATAAACGAATAAATAAATGAATTTAAAATTAAAACAATTAACAAAAATTCATTTGTGTTTGTTTACAAGTGTAACAAGATAAGCATTTTGGATACAACAAATATGAATTGCAGTATCTCGAGCATTTAAATGTTTTTGTAGGAAATGCTACAAAATACATTGAAATTGACATAACATAATGTTTGTGGATTCCTCATGATGACTATACATCTTGAGGTACAATGTGTTCCCATATTCTCAGGGTTTCTTTCCTCCATCTCATATCAACACGTCCATTGGTGGTATAATACCAGCACAGGGACTTGGCACGAATTCCAAACCCACGGTCCTTATTAATGTATCTTATGGTAATATCTTATATGGACCGTGGGTTTGGAATTCGTGCCAAGTCCCTGTTGTTTCCAGATCAAGTATAAGTCGGTACTCAAAATTAAACAGAATATTTTTCATGTTTTAATCTGTATGTCACGTGCTTCTTTTGTTCCCAAAGGAAAGCAGAATGAACCAATGCAACAATGAATCTCTTTGATACCGACATTCTAAACACGTGTCCTTGTTCTACATATTTTTGACTACTGCAGCTTATCGCTAATAAGAAATTCTTACCAATAAGGTATAGATTTGAATGAATTGCCTTCACCATTACTGAAGGAGCAACATCCCAATGAAATATTTCCTAGAGCGCATCGCGGTACCCTGAAATGTTTTCTCCCCGAGTTCAGTCGTCACGCCTCGGTTTATTCACTTACTACGTCATCTAAAGGTACCGGAAATAACCGAGGTTAGCCGATGCCACGAAATGTCGAAATTCTGGTACTCCTCAGTACGAGCAGATGCTCAATACAAAGGCAACAAAAACGATGTTTTGACAAGCAGTGTATTAGAAGGGAAAAGGTAACCAAGCGGTAGATAGAATGCTGGTATCCCATCAAATTTTATAGGTTTATTATATATGTACACGACAATATTCTTAAATTATCAAATACTATATACGAAAATTTATAAATGTATCGAACTATGGGGCTAATGCACACCCCTTTAGTTTTGATCACTTTTTATTTTTTCAGTCACCTCCTAGGCTTTAAAATCTAGGTCGTTAACAGCTGTATGTTGCAGTTTAGTTACTTGTTTGACTCTAAATTTGTATTGACGGTACTCTTCACTTATGTATTTTGTGTATCAGTCGTCAGATACTTTCACCACTGCGATTGAACAAGTTCCAAAATCCGGGATAACGTTTCCCGTGGCGATTATCAGATGACCATGTCCAAAATAATCTAGATTTCAGCCGATCCGTAATCCAAAATGGCCTTAATGTCGGCCAACCTGTGGTGCGGTCGAGCTGAAACTCGATGGGGATGTTAATGAAATGATGCCAACATATCGAAGTATCACCCTGGTCTGGTCAGAAGTTTGATATGGCAGCCATTTTTAATTACAAATGTTTGAGCATTCTAAAGATTCGATTGTGTCTGTCAGTAGTCTGAGATGATCAGATTCTGACCAAGTGTAATTATTTTTTCAGGACGCCATCGCGCTAGCTCAATGAACGACGATAATAAAGAAGAAATCTTAAATTCATTAAAGGTATAAACCAACACCACAATACCACATTCTTCACCTCTCTCCGATTCTAATGTCGTTGATTTTTTTTATTTTATCAGAAAGATATAGTAATCCTCCAGAAGAAACATACAAGTGTCCCGTCTCCTTTTGTCAGCACGTGAGTTACATGTGTGAGGCTTACTGCACAGGACAGAAAACAGATGGCGAATGTGGTATGTGTATACACCAAGAGAAATAAAACCGTTAGTAAACTGAAAATAAAACCAGGCGTTACTGTAAAATCAGATCTTTTAATGGGGTTCATCTTTTATGGTTTTACAAAACATCCCCATTTCATGGACACTTGATTTGTCGGATTATAGTAGCTCAATAAATCTACTTTCACTAATTTTATCACTTCATGGACATATGAATTCGTTGATAGAGAGTATCCGCGAAAATTAATGCTTAATGTCAAATTTAATTTCAAAATTTAAAATTTTGGGGAGTTATTCAATCCTCGAAAACAACAATCATTATATTAAGTCATGACCTAAATGATATTAGTTTATTTTTGGTGTGATACATTCCTTGTCCAAGATAGCTAAAACAGATAGACTCTGGTCGATCTTATACTGTTATACTACTTCCTTGAATTAAGGATTCAATGTTTTGGACATGTCAAATGTGTGAAATAAGATTGTGAAAATCAGAAAGAGGAGGTCTTTGTTAATCAAAACTTTGTATCGTTTACGTTTATCAACTCTTAGGGAAAGTTTGTTAATATTTCTATATAGATCAAGAGAAAATCTCCATTATAAAAGATCTTCCTCGTAGTCAGAAACATTGTTTTTTTTCTCCATTTTCTAGAACTCTACAACTGTTCTGGCAGCTTCCACTGCTCCTCTGAACATCGACACACCATCCCGATTACAGAGGTTTGTGATGGAAGAGACAACTGTCCCGAATCTGACGACGAATCCACATGTCCGAAACTCTGCCAGCCATTTTGCAAGTGTATTGGCTTAACGGTCATCTTAAATGAAAGTCCACTGGTTACCTCAAGCCTCTTTTTCAATAATACGTCCTCAGTTTATGACAATAGTAGTGGCCCATTATTAGAGTTCCTCCATCCGCCGTATCTTTCTTATCTAGCTGTGGTTAATGTACATGCATTTTCCAGTAATTGCCTGTCTGGGTTATACAACCTTAAATCACTGGACCTATCTGAAAACAGCATATTGTCTCTACCATCTAAAGCGTTTAGCGACCTGTCAAACCTCATATTACTAAATTTGTCATCTAACGGACTAAATGATTTGTCTAGTAATGTGTTTTCTGGACTTCTTGCACTGAGAAGACTCGATCTTTCCAGCAACAAGTTAGGGATTCTCCCAGAGAATGTGTTTCATGGATTTTCTGCGCTTACATTTCTTGATATGTCCTATAATCGCATAACTGTTTTACCTCCTCATGTGTTCAATGAGCTGATTCTGCTAGCACATATTTCTCTGAATTCAAATCGGATTGTGAGTCTTCCCGATAAACTCTTCAGAGGTCTCCCTGATCTCACAACGTTGGTGCTCTCTGACAACAAGATCAAACGGCTCCCTGTAACTTTGTTCAAGGGGTTATCGGATCTAACGGAGCTCGATCTATCCAATAACATACTGAAGAGTCTCCCACGTGCTATTTTTAAAGGACTTTCAGAACTTACTGAACTTGATCTGTCCGATAACCAAATAAAACGTCTGCCTGGTGGCGTATTCAGAAAATTAATGGAGCTTACCACACTGATTCTGGCTAACAATACATTGAAACGTCTTCCATACGCTGTTTTCAATGGACTCTCTGAGCTAACGGACTTGGATTTGTCTGATAATCAGATTAAATATGTTCCTGAGAATGTATTTAGTGAAATGCAAGCTCTCACCAAGCTCTTCCTTAACGCCAACCAAATTACAGCTCTCCCAAGCAATGTGTTTTTAGGACTTTCTGAATTGGCAAGGCTGGGCTTGTCAAAAAATAGAATAAAGCGCCTTCCTGATACTGTGTTCCATGGACTATCTGAACTGTCCCAACTCGATCTGTCTTACAATAAACTAAACCTTCTTCCTGAAACTGTTTTCTTTGATTTATCTGAACTTTCTGAACTGAATCTTTCTCATAACATGATAGAAATACTCCACAAAGATTCAATAAACGGACTCTCGCTTCTTACACTGCTAGATTTATCTCATAATAAAATAGAGGTTCTCGAAGGTTCTGTATTCAAAGATCTCTCTAGACTCACCCATCTGTACCTTTCCAACAACAAGCTTGCCTTTCTCTCCGATAACTTGTTCAGAGATTTCTCTGAACTTATGGAAGTGGATTTGTCGAACAATCTTATAACAAATTTATCCAATGCTGTCTTTAGAGGGCTGACGAAACTAACTAAAATTTCGCTGTCCGACAATCTGATAAACGTTTTCGCTATAGATGTACATGTACCGACTCGAGTATTAAATCGCAAAAATCAGGTTTTATATAACAGTACAGTCTCGCCTCATTTCGATACTATTCTCCCCGAGTTTGAACCAACTCTGCCTGATATTTTTAGCGACCTTTCAGTACTTACAGAACTTGACTTGTCCAACAACAAAATAACTAGCCTGCCACGTTATTTGTTCACTTACTTACCTGTCCTCAACCAACTCTACCTACAAGGTAATTTGCTTAAGGTTCTCCCCGATCATGTATTTCTTGAACTATCGAAATTAAAAATTCTGAACCTTTCAAACAATAGTATTGAAGATCTCTCTCATGTTGTATTCAAAGGTTTGTCAATGCTTACCCACCTCTCCCTTCATAACAATATGATTAAAACTCTCCCTGATCGTGTGTTCAGTGATCAAGCACAACTTACTGAACTGGGTCTATCGAACAATAATATCAGACGTCTAAAAAGTAGGGTATTCAATCACTTAGGCAAACTTAAAAAACTCGATTTGTCGTACAATAGAATAATACTTACTAAAGATACAGTTTTACGAGGAATGCCGAAACTTTCCCAATTAGTCTTATCAAATAACAAGATCGGGTTTCTACGAAATAACGCATTAAGCGCGCTGTCTGAACTTACAGAACTCGATTTGTCTTACAATAAGATAAAAGAACTCCCGAACAAGCTTTTCAGCAAACATGCAAAACTTCACATTCTTAGTCTATCCCATAATAAGATTAAAGTTGTCCCTGCTACCGTGTTCAGTAAACTTTCAAATCTTGTTGAGTTGGATCTGTCTGATAATAAGATAAAAACTATCGATAAAGCAGTGTTTGGTGGACTGTCAAATCTCACCAAATTGGATTTGTCTAAAAATAAAATAAAACTTCTCCCCGATACCTTATTTAGAAAACTCTCGAAGCTCTCCAAACTTGTTCTTTCTGGTAATAGAGTAAGAGGTCTTCCGAATGGTATATTTCTTGGTCTTTCTGGCCTGACTGAATTATCTCTTTCAAATAATGACATATGGACTCTCCGTAGTGAAACGTTTACAGGACTTTCGATGCTTTTCAAACTAGATTTATCGAATAATCAGATTACAGATCTATCAAATGATATTTTTAATGGGTTGTCAAGTCTATCTTATCTCTACCTACAAAATAATCAGATTGTGTCTCTTTCAGGTCAAGTGTTTCATGGATTATCAAGCCTCTTTTCACTCAGATTGTCTAATAATCACTTATCCAATCTCCCCGATTTTGTGTTTAGCAGAGTGTATGTAGTTAATCTTTATCTAGACAATAACAAACTTTCTGGTCTTCCTACCTTGCCACCTAATCTGAATAATCTGGATTTATCAAACAATAGCCTAACAGAACTACCTCCTGGAATTTTCATCAATAACAGCAGGTTATCTCATTTAAATATTCTTGGTAATAAACTAGAAGTGACGGAGAATATTTTTGAAGGTTTGAAAAATCTAGTTATTTTGTTGACTGACACTCCATTCATGTGTTGTGTGAAACCGAAATCTGTCGCTGATAGTAAGTGTTTAAGAACATCAGTCCAGTGTTCAAAGGATGACAAGATTTGTAAATCAAAGAATGATGCCATATCTTCCTGCTATGCTCTGATAAGCTCTGGTGTACTACGGGTATTTCTGTGGACTATTGGTCTGTGTGCTGTCCTGGGAAATTTGGTTGTCATATTCTATCGTACATTCATAGATAAAGATAATATCACTAAAAGTTATTCTCTCTTTGTTTTAAATTTAGCTTTGTCTGACTTTCTGATGGGGATTTATTTGTTGATAATTGGCGTTGTTGATGCATATTACAACAAAGTTTATGCTTGGAATGAACATAAATGGAGGACAAGTTTTGCTTGTACAACAGCTGGAATTTTCTCTAGTATCTCAAGTGAAATGTCAACATTTCTAATTCTACTAATAACAATAGATAGGTTAATCGTTGTTGTGTTCCCAATGTCACGTCTCTCCCAGTGGAACATATCCTGGAGACAAGCCACAGTTGTCTCAGTGTTCCTCTGGCTGATATCTATTACACTCGCGGTAGTTCCTACTTTTGTTGCGCAATCCTACTTCAAAGGAGAATATTACTCTCAGTCTGGAGTTTGCCTCGCCCTGCCACTGACGAACGTTGCACAGCCAGGTGCGGAATATTCGTTTGCAGTGTTCGTATGCCTGAATAGCATAGTTTTTGTCGTTATAGTAACAGGACAAATTTGGATGTTAAAAAGTTTAAGGGCCAGATGTAGTCGGATTACCTCGTCGCAGACTCGACAACGAGAGATGGTAGTAGCGAGGACCTTGTTCCTAGTTGTGGCGACTGACTTCTGCTGCTGGTGTCCTATCGGTATTATGGGTAGGTATGCTCTACCATCCTCTCATTAAGTGTAACGTCACAAGAATCTCTTTATCTGTGCCACATTAGGGTTTCTTGTATATAAGCCAGAATAATCAATTTTCCAAATTGATGTGATAGCCTAAAAAAAAAAAAAAAGAGTCTGAAATATTGTAGTCGACATGAATCACAATCAAAACATTTGGCTTCGTTTGTTTAGGGCATCCTCATATCAGTCAAGTTTATATGATGACGGCATCATACACGAGGAATTCATTCCATGACTATTAAACAAGGACATCATGAAGAGAATATTGTTCGCGTATTTCTTCCAGCACTTACAATTTCCTCGTCTTTAGCTAAAGAAGATTTTATCACCTTATACCCAAGAGCATTGATGAAACTAGCCTTATTGGTAATTGCCTTAAGATATTATGATTCTACAATGAAACTATCACTTTGAAGTAATAAATTCCAGGTATACTGTCTAAGTGTGGGATAACGATTCCAGACCATGCTTATGCATGGGTGATGGTGTTCGTCTTACCAGTTAATGCTGCTGTCAATCCGTTCTTGTACACAATCACAGCGATATGGAAGAGGCGACGACAGCGGGTGAGTTGATCCGATGATTATATAGAAATTTTACTGTGGTATGAAAGTGTTAACGTTAGCAGTTTCAAATAACTTAATAGCCTCTCAATTACGAGATGAAGTTCCCGAACATTAGAATCAATTAGTTAAACATGGACAAAAAACAAGCAAGCAGCAGTTGTCACTTCCAATAAACACAGACGTTACATTCTTGAATATTTTGCTCAAATTGAAATAACTAATAATAGAGTTGTCATTTCCTCTGGAGGAGCTGAAGAACGTCCATGTCAGTAAATAAGTATGCAAATCTGGACGAGAACAGGTGCAAGAATGTCGAATTGGACGGCCGCATCTTGTAATGATAAAAACGCAGAAATCTTCGGTATACCTAATATGCAAGCTGTGTGTGAAGAAATGATGTGTAAATTGTTATAACGATTAATATAGAAAAGAAGAGATATCTGTGCTGGAAAATTGATACACGTTTTGTATTTTCTAGTTCCATAATTGACAAAGTACTATTGGTGTTTCAGGAACAAGACTCGACAGCGATGACGTCACGGATAAGTGTTTTCCTGCGTCAAGCAGTCGGTAACGTGGCCGAGACACATGTTTAAAGACGCCCCAGTCAATAGTTTACGAAATTTTAGGCAGTACAGTGTCACAGACAACTTTGTAACATCGTCTTGTATCGTGTTCAAGACACTCGTTTAAAATAACACTAGTAAATACCATGAGGTAGCCAGCCATCCGTTTAACGAAACACCAGTCAGTTTCATACCAGATCTAGACATCCGTTAAACCAAACACCAGCCAGTCTCATACCGGAGCTAGACAACCGTTAAACCAAACACCAGCCAGTCTCATACCGGAGCTAGACATCCGTTAAACCAAATTCCAGCCAGTCTCATACCGGAGCTAGACAACCGTTAAACCAAACACCAGCCAGTCTCATACCGGAGCTAGACATCCGTTAAACCAAACCCCAGCCAGTCTCATACCACAGCTAGACAACCGTTTAACGAAACACGAACCAGTCTCGTACCAGCGCTAGACAACCGTTTAACGAAACTCCAGCCAGTCTCATACCAGATCTAGACAACCGTTTAACAAACCCTATCCAGTACCGTGCCCTGGACGCATGTTTTATGTAATACCAGTTTATAGCGTGTCGGAAACATATGTGTCAATAAACACCAGCTTTCAGCGTGCCGGAGACACTAGTGTCAAAAAAAACCATTATAGCGTTCCGGAGACACACGTTTCAATAAACACCAGCTATCAGCGTGCCGGAGACACCCGTGTCAATAAACATCAGCTATCAGCGTGTCGGAGACACACGTGTCAATAAACACCAGCTATCAGCGTGTCGGAAACATATGTGTCAATAAACACCAGCTTTCAGCGTGCCGGAGACACTAGTGTAAAAAAAAACCATTATAGCGTTCCGGAGACACACGTTTCAATAAACACCAGCTATCAGCGTGCCGGAGACACCCGTGTCAATAAACATCAGCTATCAGCGTGTCGGAGACACACGTGTCAATAAACACCAGCTATCAGCGTGTCGGAAACATATGTGTCAATAAACACCAGCTTTCAGCGTGCCGGAGACACTAGTGTCAAAAAAACCATTATAGCGTTCCGGAGACACACGTTTCAATAAACACCAGCTATCAGCGTGCCGGAGACACCCGTGTCAATAAACATCAGCTATCAGCGTGTCGGAGACACACGTGTCAATAAACACCAGCTATCAGCGTGTCGGAGACACACGTGTCAATAAACACCAGCTATCAGCGTGTCGGAGACACACGTGTCAATAAACACCAGCTATCAGCGTGCCGGAGACACCCATGTTAATTTACACCAGCTATCAGCGTGCCGGAGACACCCGTGTTAATTTACACCAGCTATCAGCGTGACGGAGACACCCGTGTTAATTTACACCAGCTATCAGCGTGACGGAGACACACGTGTCAATAAACACCAGCTATCAGCGTGTCGGAGACACACGTGTCAATAAACACCAGCTATCAGCGTGCCGGAGACACCCATGTTAATTTACACCAGCTATCAGCGTGCCGGAGACACCCGTGTTAATTTACACCAGCTATCAGCGTGACGGAGACACACGTGTCAATAAACACCAGCTACAGCGTGCCGGAGACACACGTGTCAATAAACACCAGCTATCAGCGTGCCGGAGACACCCGAGTTAATTTACACTAGCTATCAGCGTGCCGGAGACACACGTGTACATAAACACCAGCTATCAGCGTGCCGGAGACACCCGAGTTAATTTACACTAGCTATCAGCGTGCCGGAGACACACGTGTACATAAACACCAGCTATTAGCGTGCCGGAGACACTTGTTTAAAAATACACTAGCTAGTATTCTGTCGTATCTTGACATTCGTTCACGAAACACTAGCTAGTGCCATGCTGGAGCCGTCAATTTAACGAAGTAGTGACATGAGAATATTTCATAAAAACACATTTGTCAGAGTATATTTGTTATCTAGAAATTACCGTGAAGCATTTAATGACACTGATTATTTCCCCTAGAAGATTACGGATTTATGAGGCGTTAAATATATATATATATATATATATATTTATATATGTGTGTGTGTGTGTGTGTTTTGTTATTTGTTTTTCTAATCTGCTTGTGTTTTTACCAAAGATTTTTCAGGGAGATTTATATAGTGCCATATTTTCAAACAAAAATATGTCTTCAAACTGAACGATTGAAATGATCTTTTATGAACAAATAAAAATCCAGAAACAAACTACCTTCACTTGTTTACTTGTGTCATAACAGCCTTGATAGTGGAAAGTATGCGACATGACTTTCGTAGAGTACAAGGAGAATAAGTGTTCCGGAATGGTAGGAAGCTTCTGTTTCGTCGACGACTATCGCCATATAAATCAAGATCAAATGAAATGAAACTGATTTTTTTTATAAAAGTATCTGAAAGAACACAAGACGCATAAAATCCCAGTCACATGCAAGCTCAGTCACATAAAATCCCAGTCACATACAAGCTCAGTCACATAAAATTCCAGTCACATACAAGCTCAGTCACATAAAATCCCAGTCACAAATAATCCCAGTTACATTTGTAAGAAATTAGTTAAGCTGAAAAAGTATTATTAATACCTGGAACAGGCGAAATCTAACTCCCACAAAGTCCATTAAATAAAGTCGTTAATGATTTGACAATTTAATCATTATTTCTCTCCTTAAGCTAAAAAAAAAATAGTAAAGAAAATAAATTCTTTATCATTTGAGTTTTTAAAACACAGTAAAGTATATATATAGAGATTTTTTTATAAGTTTCATAAAGATATAGAAAGATCATCGTTAAGTATTATGATCTTGTTGGTTCACAAATGATTAATCATTGAAGATAGGATAAGTTGGATTAAAAGACTATCAGTCTTAAGGCAAACGGAAAAAAATCGTTTGGTGAAATCATTAAACATATATAGACTTTTGAACGATGGAGGGGACTATATAAAACAGTACCAATATATATATGTCAAAATATATCTGGTCGTATGTATTAGAGACTTGGTCTAGATCGGAAATTTCATATAACGTGAACACACTTAAAGGGAAATCACTCTTGCAAAAACACCTGGTACAATAATAGTACAACTATTTGTGGTAAGTCCACACACACACACACACACACACACACACACACACACATCTTTATTACGATGAATTTATCAAAAAAAAGAAAGAAAGAAAAAATTAGCATTTATGTTTTTTTCTGAACTATGATGGAACAATCTATTAGGTAATGTTTACAGAATTATGATATCGGGGAGAATGAACTGATTCATCCTAATCTACCTGTTAACATTGCTTTGTTTCTAAAAAAAAAACAAGAAAATATCAACATGTCAACATAATGATAATCCAAACACAAATTCAATTTAACCAGGGCAAAATATGAATAGAAGAAGGATTTACACGGAGACTCATGAAAAAGTTCCCAGAGAATGAGATTTGGTGTTCTGGAGGATGTAAACGTCTTCTGCTTCATTGACGACACCAGCCATGTCAATCTTGGTCAATTCGAGACCTCCGTGAAGTTGATTCCCTATTCCCTATTTCTTATTCCATTACTTATTCGAAATTTTCATTCCTAATTCAATACCTATTATTTATTCATGTAATCAATATGTAATAACACTATAAATGCTTCTGAATAATTATCAAACGTGCCCATTCTATTGTTCCTCCTTTCTATTATGTATTCAGTTCCTTTTCGATATTCCTCCCCTCATTATTTATAGACAATAAAGATCATTTTAAATGAATGCATAAATGTTTTAATTCCTTTCTTAGACCTATACAACACATGCAGAATGCTGATTACTTATTCGAAACCTTTATTACTTATTCGATTTCCTCATTACTTATTCGATTTTCTCATTACTTTTTTCGAATTATTATCACTTATCAACAATGAGATAGTTTTAAATGAAAGAATAAACCGTTTTTATTCCCATTTCGACTTGTGAAACACGTATAAAGTATTCATTACTTATTCGAAACCTTTATTACTTATTCGATTTCCTCGTTACTTAGGATTTTCCTAACGTTAATTTGTACCCTAACCCATACCCCCTAACTGACGAATCCCGGTAAGTATATATCATTCGGATCTAACGGGTCAGATAAAAAAAAACTGAGTATAGCAATATCTGCATGTATCGTAGGAGAAACATTTGGAGTTCATTTTTTCTTACCTTTACTTTGATTTTTATTACGAATTCAATTAATGTAAATGAACAGGATTTCTATATGTGTTGTTTTTATATCTTAACGATGAAAATGGTACCTAAATTATGTATGTTGAGTTAAAAATGTGTTGTTATCTGACATTTTGTATTTTAATATGAATGAGTTAGGAAATTTACGAGAGAAGCCATAATGTATATGTTCACAATGGTGTTTATGTTTGTCTCTTTTCCTACAAAATGCTTCAATTTGATTGGTCTTTTTTATGCCTCTGTGATTTGTGCCATGTAGACATAGGTAAATGTCATTTTGTATTGACTAGTGTCACTTTTCATACCGTTTAAGCTTAGATTTGCATAGGATAGACAGCTGTATGCATTTAAACACATAAAAATCACAATGGTATCGAATTGAAATCTTCTTTAAATTGGTACACTCGAGTGGAGGGGAAAAACAACAATATTTTTTCTACATACCGGACAATACAGAAGGACATTACTCATTAAAACATTTCATAATTCAATTATATATTTGCCAATCATCTTGCAGCCATTTTGTATGGACCGTATTCATATGACCTGACGAGATTTTCTAAAGTTTCCATTTAATATTCCATCATGTTTTTTGTAGCTAAATGGCTGCGAAATGATAGAAACATGGACTAATAGGATTGTTAGGATTACTAATAATTGATTAACGTTTTCATCTATATTGTCAGTAATGCCAGTCGGTAAATAAACTTTGGATTACAGTCAAAATAAACGTACAAGATACAGCAAACTGATATATTAAAATAAAAGAAAATAAGAAAATTATTCATTGTAAAGGATTCGAGCAGGAAGTGAACATTGGTTTCG